TAGAAGAAGAAGAAAGAATTTAAACCATATAAACCCAAGTGCAAGTTTTTACAAAGACTGCTACTCCATCCTCATGGAGATCAATGATCGGGTGACCATTGAGAAGCCTGTTTCTATGAAAGGTTCCTCTAAAAATCGGAACAAAAACAAGTACTACCACTTCCATGAGGATATTAGCCACAAAACATACGACTATTATAGCCTCAAGCGGCTGTTAGACCGTATGGCTGATCAGAGGGTGTTAAAGTCTTACATCCTTAAGTCCAAGGTTACTCTGAAGACAAACCCAGGGCAGTCATTCAAAAAGACTGCCCAGCCTACTAGTAGTTCAGACACTGACAAAGAGCCAGTCTACACAATACATGCGGCTTTAATGGAGGTGGGCCTATAATTCGGCGCACTTAGGATCATTTGAGGAAGATGGATGTTAATTCTTCTCAGCACATTTCTGGTCATCATCACTGAAAAGGACTAGGGCATTGTTCCCCGGTCGCATGATGACCCAATCGTCATCGAATGTAAGGTTTCCAACTAGTTGGTTGGCCGGATTGGATCTTGATAGATATTGGGTTCTTGTCTGACATCATCAGCTACAAGTGCTTATCCAAGCTGAAGTATTAGTCCGACAACATGCACAAGGTCACTCATCCTCTAGTTGCGGGGGGGGGGGGGGGAGGGGGGATTTGTGCACTCAGTCGGTCGGATATATTGATCTACCCATCCAGCTAGGAGAGAAGGGTAAAGGACGCCACATGGTCGTCCGGTTCTTGGTCGTTGAGGAGCTGACCAGCTACAGCGTCATTTTGGGTCGTCCAAATCTGAAGGAGTTCAAGGCCATCATTATCCCATCCCTCATGCAGCTGAAGTTTGAAAGGACTGATGGTTCTATTTGCTCCCTGAATGGGGAACAAAAGACGGCCATGAAGTGTTATCTTTCTAACGTCAAGTCCATAGTGGCCGTAGCCAGCCAGGGTGAGGAGCCAATAGACCTTGACGATGTCAAGGATCCCAAACCAACCGCACTGGTAGCTGAAAAGAAAAGGAAAGTTGATCGGCTGGTGACAGTGAAAAAAGAGAAGTAATAGCAATCACAGACGGGGAACAGTCAGATGAACTTTGTCCCCAGCCGGCTGGTGAGTATATTGATATTTCTCTGGACGACAGCCGTCCAGAGTGTGCTGTTAAGGTCGGGATGACTGCTTTTGTAAGGATGGGTGCATATTTGCACAACCTCTGAAAGAATTTGAAGACATTTTTGCCTTTAAAGTGGAAGAGATGTCAGGAATCAGCCCAGATGTTGCTATCCACAAACTCACCATGGATCCAAAAAAGAAGGCTATCAGGCACAAGAAAAGAAATCACGGCGAGGAAAAAAGTCAGGCGACAGCTGCCAAGGTTAAAAGCTGTTAGACAATACGTTCATTCGGCCATGTAACTTCCCTGATTGGGTTGCGAATGTTGTGCTTGTGAAGAAGCTAAATGGTACCATGCGCATGTGTGTTGATTACATTGACTTGAATAAGACATGTCCAAAGAAGAGTTACCTTCTTCCAAAGATCGACGGCCTGGTTGACTCTACAGCCGGGCATGCCTTGATGAGTTTCATGAACACCTATTCAGGCTTCCATCAGATTCCCCTGTGGAATATAGATCAATAAAACACGTCTTTTGTCACTGGTCAGGGGTAATTATGTTATACTGTGATGCCGTTTGGCGTGAAGAATGGTGATGAGTGTCATTTATGACACTCATTTAGCTTCTTTTAGGATGGTTTTACATTATTTTTTTGCATCTCTTTTATCTCCTTTTCTCTAGTTTTTCTTATATTTTCTTTACTTTGCATTTTCCTTAGATGTTTTCTCATTTTCTTGCTTTTCTAGTTTATTTTGCATTTTTCTTCTTTACTTGTTTGATCATCTTTGATTATAGGAAGTTGGCGATGTTCGAGAGCCTCAAGGGCATTTTTAATGCAGTTTTCAAGCCAAAAGATGTCACAGTTTCTCCATTAGAAGCCCAAAAGCAAAGGAGTCCAAGAGCATGTTCTTCAAGGTTGCCCCCTTATACCGTGTGGGCATGAAGGAGTGGCTTCAAACCCACTAAAAGTGCTCTAACGTACTGCCTATTTCATCGGAGATCATCCGGAAGTCACGGGCTCAAACTCAGCCACACAAGGATAGCTCCCTTGCTCTAATGGCGTGGGCGCGCTAGAGAGGAGTGGCCGTGCCAGGCACCTGCACGGCCGCGCGTGAGCCTGGAGCGGCCGCACCACTCTCTTCTCCCCATTCCTTACCCATTTTGTAGCGGTCGCACAATGGAGTGAGAGGCTGCGCTCTTTGAGGTCCTTTTAAGACGTCTAAGTAACTACCCTTTAGTTAGTTTTACTATATATAGATATTCCTTCATTTTTAGAAAGGGAATTAATCCTCGTTGTAGAATTTTATTAGATTTTAGAGAGAGAAACTCTTGATTTGGTGATATTATTCTTAGATTTTAGATAGAGAAACTTCGTGTTTGATGATTGAGATACGTAGATCTTCATTCGTCTTTGATATTGATCAAGGTTTTGTAAGAATCCACTTTTCAATGAAATTTGATGTTTGATTTTGTTACATTGTTGAATTTGATTTGTTTAGCTTGAATTTGATTGTTGAAGTTTTAATTACAATGTTAATGATGAGTTTTATGATTACTTTTGTTATGCATTTGAATTTCACCATGATGAGTGAGTAGTTGATTTGCTAGGGAATGTGGTGAAGCATGTATTGGTGATAATTTAATGCTAATTTGGGGTTTTTGATTGATTTGTTGATGTGATTAAATTGGTTAATGAAATTTGTGCATGTGCTTTGTTTGAAGAGTAGTAGCTAACCTTGATTATCATGCTAGATTGCATAATAGCATTTCATGACACGAACAATAAATTTAGATGCTATTATTAATCGTTTGATCTCGATTTGTGATTTTCCTTTGAAGTCATTTGTAGAGACATCTAGCTTGACCCTAGGAGATAGCCTATTGAGTGATCTTGATTGCTTATTCTGTTTTCCATCGCATCGCTTAGTTGATTGAATTCTCTCGAATTAGCAAGATTGTTATCAATGCATGTGGATCCTAAGTTCCCTACTGTTTTGATATTTGATTTCGTATGATTTATTTGAGTAGTGTAGACCAACCCGGTCCCTTAGTGTTCGAAATAGCTTAGCATCAACCTTAGTACTCCCTCCTTTCCTTGGGATTCGACCTAGACTTACCCTATAATTTTGTATGTGTAGGGCACGAGATCGAATTTTAGTGCCATTTAATCCGGAAATTGAGAGAACCATAACAAGGATAAGGGTTGCTAATCGTTCCTCAAGTCCAAGTTCCCAAGAGAGGAAATCCATCAAGAAAAAGAAGAAGAAGAACGAGGAAGCATGGGAGCTAATCCAAGGGTAGCTTTGAAGGAGTTGGGAACCCTCGGAGCTTATAGGTTTTAAAGTGAGATGCTCCACCAACAACACCGGCAAATGATTTCGAGATAAAGTCGGCAATGATCACTTTGATAGAGAGGCGTCAATATAGTGGTGCAAAGCATGAGAGCCCTCTAAACCACCTTAAGGAATTTGAGAAATATTGCAACACAATCAAGGTGAATGGGGTTTCTCGAGAATTCATCCGCCTTAAAAATTTCCCTTTCTCTCTTATTGGACGAGCTTTAGAGTGGCTAGAAAAGGAGGTGAAGCCTAATTCTTTGAGAACGCGGGATGAAGTTACGAAAGAATTTTTATCTTGTTTCTATCCACAAAAGAAGACGACCGAAGCAAGAGCCCTCATATAGTTTCAAGAAAAAGTTGAGTGAAAGCCTTTATGAGGCATGGGAAAGGTACAAGGAGTATCAAAGAGAGTGCCCACACCATGGGATTCCTACCTATCAAATCATTTAAATTTTCTGTGGAGGTTTAAGTCCTCAAGGAAAGTCTTGTTTGGATGTCGGTGGCCCTATCATGAAAAAATGGAGGATGAAGTGGTGGATCCCATTGAGGATGTGGTGAGCCACATGGATTGGCAAGAAGGTGAGAGATAGTCGACAAGCAAAAGTGGTTCAACGGTTTATTCAATCGACTATCTCAATGCCATCAACAATTTATCCTCACAAATCTTAAACATGGGAAAGGATATGACCTCAATTAAGGCAAAGCTTGAGAGTGCTTCTTCAAAAGCACCTATTATTCTCCCCCCCCCCCCCCCCCACAATAAGGGGAGAGGTATGTCTTCTAACTCTACTCCTCTTTCAACTTCAAGTAGTATGCCAAGTGGATGTGTGTTTTGTGATGTTTGTGGGTCATATGACCATGATTCTTCTAGTTGTCCACATGCATTTGAGAGTTGTGATGATGGTGAGAATAATGAATGTAAGCAAGTGAATTTTGTTTCTAACAACAAGAATGGACAAAGATTTGATAATCCAAGGAACTTTGGGAATATGAATTCTCACTAACAAGGGAATTTTGACAACTATGAAAATGGTGGTTATAGGAACCAAGGAAACAAAAATTTCCAAGGTAACTATAATAATCAAGGTTATGATAATCAAAATCAAGGCCAATACCAAAATCGGGGTAATTAGAGTAACCAAAACCGGGGGAATTTTCAAAATAACAACCAAAGGGGACCCCCCACCCGGATTTGCTCCAAAGACCCAAGGAAATGGTGAGAATTTCTATACTAAACCTTAAACTTCTAAGACTACCTTGGAAGAGATCATTAAGAACCAAACCAAAATTTTGAACACTTACATGTCGGTAAGTGATGAGAAGTTCAATGAGATGATGACACACAATAAGATTCTTGAAACTCAAATTGCTCAATTGGCTAACACCTTGAAAGAGAGTGTGAATGCTAGCCCTTCTTCTTTACCCTATCAAGGAGTTGAACCTAAGAAACCCAAGTATTCCATCACCACAAGGAGTGGGAAAATGATTGAATAAAGAGTTTATAGGGAGAGTGAGGAAGATGAGAAGATGAGTGATTCAAGTGAGGAAAAAGAGAGTAATGTGTCAAAGGAGGCGAGTAAGGAAGCCCAAGAGGAAATGAGGAGTGATGAAAAAGTGCAAGAGGAGGTGAGCAAGCCCAAGCTTCCATATCCCCAAAAGTTTTTGAGAAACAAAATTGATGAACAATTTGGGACATTTCTTGATATGCTTAAAGAAGTTCGTCTTTCAATCCCTCTTACCAATGCCATGACCCAAATGCCTAGATATTGTAAGTTCTTTAAGGAAATTTTCAGTGGCAAGAGAGAGTGTAATGAGATAGATTCAGTAGAGGTTGGGGAATGTTATATTGCTTTGATTAGTAATGACTTACCCAAGAAAATGAAAGATCCGGGTAGTTTCTCCATCCCTTGCAAAATCAATGGAAAGTTGTTCCAAAATGCTCTTTGTGATCTTGGTGCTAGTGTGAGTATCATGCCTTATTCGGTCTTTAGAAAGCTTAAGCTAGGTGAGCTTCATCCAACCAATACGACTTTGCAATTGGCCGAACTATCTATTAAGTTTCTAAAGGGAAGAGTTGAGGATGTTCCGTCCCCTCAAGATAGGAGAGTTCACCATTCCGGTTGATTTTATTGTGCTAGAAATAACGGAAGATGATAACATACCTATCATTCTAGGGAAACTTCTTAGCTACTTCGGTAGCTTTGATAAATGTGAAAGGAGGTCTTATTACTTCGAGAGTTGGTAGCAATATGACTAATTTTGAGCTTAAGCCAATGCATGAGCCATTGTCTCTTGTGAATGGAATTATGTGTGTCAATTCCCCTCAATTTAATGATGATGTTTTCATGAATGTTTCTTCTACTAACAAAGTTCTTGAAGTTTTTGGTGATGTGTCTTTGAGTGTTGAATGCAAGAAGGTTAGTGAACAAAACAAGGAGCCTTTGAAGCTTGAGGATGATGAGGTGATTGATATTTCTCCATGGTTTGAGCTTTACCCTCAAGAAGATGAGGTTGACTCCAAGTGTGTTGATGGTGAGAAGTTGTCACTAGAAGGAGTTAGAAGACAAAGAAGAAAGGGAGAGCTTTTAGAAAAAAGAAAATGAAGTTGAAGCAAAATGTGCTTGTTCCGGAAATTTCATCAAGTGAGAGTTCATTAAGCAACGATGTGAATTTGCTAAGAATTGGGGAAGAGTTTGTTCCCTTTACCACTTTGAATAAGGTGGTGTAGTTTAACTCTCCATGATTTGGAAAAGGGTCGAGCTAAGGACCTTAAGCAAGGGCTTCCCGGGAGGAAACTCGGTTTTCTAACTTTTTCTTTTGATTATATTTTTTCTTAGTTTCATTTCAATTGTTTTTCTTTCTGTCACTTGTTTTACATTTGGATTAATAGGTTGAATTCATAGAAATTGGACTACCTTGAGTGAGCATGAGCAGAATGGGAATATGTTTCGTGATGTTTGGTGATAATATGCTCGATATAATTGAATTTCGAGATGAATGGGTAAGGAAATTTAGGAGATAAGTTAGGAAAAGTTGTGCTTACATTTGAAGCAAGTTTGATCTTGGTGGGTTCATTATAGTGCTCTCATTAATTTGGAATGTTAAACCCACTAAAAGTGGAATTTAATTACTGTTCGTTTTAGAGGGTTCAATAATCCCAGAATGATAAAGATTGTTGAGCCCATGTATGAACGCACCAAGAGAATCAATCAAGCAAGAGAGTGAGCCAGCCGGCGCGGGCGCGTTGGCCTGTTGTGCGGCCGCGCGTCTAGGAAACCAAAGCTTATTTTTTTGTTTCTTCTTTCTTTCCCTCATTTCCCCTCATCCTCACCCTCGAACGCACCCTCCTTCTTACTCCAAACTGCAAACCCACGAAACCCTTACCCCAAAATCAACCAAAGACCTTCTCAAACATTAAAACAATAAACAAAAACAACAATTTCCTTCTCCAAATTCATCATCAACATCAAGAATCATACTACCTTTCTCTATTTCTCAATCTCCAATCTCTCTCCTCCATTGAAGACCAAATTGGGGATTTTTGAATTGGTGGGAATTGCTGGTTATTTGTTGATCAATATTGCTCTTAGTGTGGTGTAATCATCTTATTTAACTCTATTTTACATTTTTATATCATATTGTTGCAAGATTTTGATTTTTTATGATTCTGAATAGTAGTAGTATGAATTTTGATGAACTTGGTGATTGATTGAGAAATTGGGTTGATTATTTGTGTTGTTGTTGATTAATTTTGCCTCACATTGTGTTTTTGATTGTTTGTGTAACCCAATTGTGTAAATTTGTTGTGAATTGTGGAAGGTGAATCTTGGTAGTAAGTGGTTGTGATTGGAATTGATTATTTGAGCGAAGTTGGTGATTGAGGTATGTTGGTGATTTTAAGTGTTTTGTGAAGTTAAATTTGTGATCTTGGTTGTGAAATCTTGGTGAAGCAAGCATGTCTAGAATTATGAAAGCTCTCACCTCCAAAAACAAAAAGAGAAAAATCAACATCACCACTGATGAACCCTCACCTTCAAACACTTCCTCCCCTCAAACACAAAACCTAAAGCCTTTTCCTCTTCCTGAAATCAGTTTTAACAATCTAAGCAACAAACCTCATTGGAAAAATTTCAAGAAGAGAACCTATAAGCCCTCACGGCACTACCACCAATATAGCATGATCAAATTGGATATCGATGAGGACCTATGGACTCTTTTGGACAATCTTGGTTTGGGTCCTTTTGTCACCAAAAGCTACCGGGCTTATCTGTTGGGGTTTGGTGAGTCCGACTCACCGCGGAAACAAACCCAAAAATAAGACCGCACTCGCAATAAATAAAACCATAAACATAATTAAATTAATCACAAGATTAAGATATGCTAATTACCTTTGACGCGTGCTTCGCTCCAAAATGAGCTCTTACTTGAAAGCTTCAAGTCCCGCTCACACGGAGACCTCCAACAAAGTCCACCCGCACCAACAAAACCGACTAGGTCCAATGTCTTGGGGTTACCAGGACCTGACCAATAAAACCCGAGTAATTATATTGAGTTTAAAGGTTTTCACTAATTGTGATGCCTTTTCCAACTCTTACTCAAGCATCATTCCCAATGCCCATACTTGGGTATTTATAGGAAATGATGGGAGTATCATTTACTCTCCCATCAATGTGGGATAGTATGATTTTTCCATTTTATTTTAAAGCTAAAATAAAATTAATAATCAAGCTAGTAATAAATCAACAAGTGGCAAGCTCATGTGAGTGGTTAGGTGAGGACCACTTGGAGAAGGGGGGACCAAACTTGCTCCCCACTCCCTCTCCCATAACCGACCACCTCACTCCACACACACTCAAGGACCACAAGCCACATGGCACCCACCCTTGGGCACCAAGGCAGCCAAGGTGGGCTGCCATGTGCTGCTGTCCGTGGCAGCCACGCCCAGCAGGCCCAGCACTCGCATGCGGGCTGCCAGGCGCTGCTGGCCAGCAAGCCCAGAATGCTTGTGCGGGCTGCTGCTGGCCTTGTGCCTTGGCCAGCGCTGCTAGCTGTGGCGAGCTGGCGCGCCTAGCGTGCTAGCTGCTGCAGCTTGTTACGGCATGGCTTGCTAGCCATTGCGCGCACAAGGCTGCGCCTAGCATGCTAGCACACACTAGGTAGCGCCTAGCCTTGCGATGCTAGCATGGGTGCGCTAGCACGCACCAGCCAGCCTAGGCTCGGCTTGGTGCGCATGCTAGCCACCATGCTAGGCTATACGCCCTTAGCACTCGGTTTGTTTGGGCATTCCGATGATAGGGTTATTTTGGTCTTTTGTTGATTTATTACTATTTCTCGTCTCGTCTTTCACTATTTTTCGACTCGACTTCCGACGCTCGGTTTCGACGCTCTAAGCTCGAATTTCCGACGTCTAAATAAATATTACTCGGTTGACTCATTAATTCCTTCCGAATTAATTCGTCGGTTCGGTTTGTTGAATGCTTGGGTGTGACCCGAAGGGTTCAGTCAAGATTAAGCTGTAATATTAATTATTCATTAATATTACTGATCGGAAGCGGCCTCCACCCAGGCATTCCGATCACTTGACCTCACTGAATATATTAGCTTTCTAATAATTCTGAACCCACTAACAAAATAGTACACTTGTTCGAAGGACACCATTCCTTTCAGTCTCCCACTTGTCCTTATGGACAAGTGCGCATTTTGTGTTTAACCTTTTTCCTATGTCGTTAATGTCTCTTCATGAACTATAAGGTAAGAATTATTTTGTCATCCTTATTACGTTTAGAAGTGTTTCCCGATTCTGAGTCCGACTATCAATAAACAGATGATTTCTAAAATCCATCCGAGCACGACCATGCATTTTACAGTCTCGCTCTACGAGAGGCCTTGTATACAACAAAGACATCTTCCCTATTTTAGTAGGGGGACATTCCTAGTCTTGTAATGTAGCTCCTCTTACTGAGAGGACCTAGTCGCCCGAGTGTTGCCGTTATAATCCCCTATTACGGTAGAGGTTTGACAACATCAAAGCGAACTAGTACTCAAACAAGAGAACTCACAATACTCATGGTCGAGGAAATAGGTTCCGATAGCCATAATGAGAAGTATACTTATGACAAATTTTTTTTAATTTCTTACAGTATTCTCATAGGTCGATCTAGTATGGTTCTAAACCAATACCTGTGCAAATAATTTATGACAATCATGTCCTTGTAGCACATGAAACGGTGCTATAAATCAAACTACACACTAATCTCAATCGGTCATTAATCGTCCATCGTTTAAATGACCTTGATTAGGGATAATTTTCAATTATAATATTCAATGTTCACTTAATAGGTGTTTCCTTACCAAGACTGGTCTTGATACCCTATTTTGAATATTCTCAGAATCGAATGGACTCATTATTTAATCCTAAACCACAATTAAATAGCATAACGGAGTAATAAAATATTGCATGAAAATTTATATTACTCCAAAACTTGAATGGTTTTCCTTAGCGTCTTACATTAATTTTTCTCAAAATTAACTAAAACACTAAACAAGGAAATCAAATCCAGTCTCTTACATGCTTGATTCCCAATTCCTCAACGTGCTTGTTGTGCTTCACTTGAGGCAAAGGTTTAGTAAGTGGATCGGCTACATTGTCATCCGTTCCAACTTTGCAAATTCTGATTTCACCCTTTGATTTCCATTCTCGAATCATGTGAAATCGCCGCTTGACATGTTTGACCTTCTGATGTTCCCTAGGCACTCTGGCCTGAGCAATAGCTCCATTGTTGTCATAATAAAGGGCTATTAGACCCTTTATAGAGGGTACAACATCAAGTTCACCAACGAACTTACGAATCCAAACAACCTCCTTAGCTGCTTCAGCAACTGCTAAGTATTCGGCTTCAGTTGTAGAATCTGCAGTTGTACTCTGCTTTGCGCTCTTCCAACTAAACACCCCTCCATTTAGACAGAACACATATCCAGATTGCGATTTGAAATCGTCTCTGTCTGTCTGGAAGCTTGCGTTGGTATAACCTTCCACAACTAAATCCTCTGCACCACCATACACCAGGAATTTATCCTTGTTCCTTTTCAGGTACTTTAGGATATTTTTGGCCGCAGTCCAATGC